TGGAAAAGAAAATTTCTCCTGTACCCTTGGAAATGAATCAGTCACCTGAGACATTAGCTGTGGGGGAAAGCAAAGATACGGACATCATAAAAGACTCCACAGAAATGCTTCATCCTGATTACTAAAAAAGAAAGTCTAGATTATTCTAAAGAATTTAAAGCCATCAGTGATTCTCTCTCTGCCCACCCAATGCAAGACAAGAACAGCTTAGCAGTGGCATCCAGGAATTCCCATTCAACACCCTCAAATCCTTCCCTTTCACCACCAGCTTCCCCAGAACCCCCATGTCTGCCCTTGGAACCACCTCCTCCCATCCCATTAGACAAATCCCCATCCACCCCTTCAGATGACCTTTCACCTTTGATCTCTGAACTCTCCACTGTGTCTGGATCAGTGTCAAGTCCGGAGGAATTTGCAGCAGATGCCAACGATTCATCAGCAAATCCTGTAGACATGGAGGCCAAGTCAGGACCAACACCAGCTCTCAAACAACATCCTTCAAAAGACAGATCAAAGCCAACATCTTCATTCCTTGAGCAATTCCGGGCCAAGAAGGCAGAAAGTCTTCCAAGCACGGCTTCAGCAGAAAAAGGAGGTTCAAATAAGGATCCTTCCTTAGACATACCCAAAGTCTCAAGGCCTGGGAGCAAACAGTCAACAGTTCTTCCAAGCCCTCCGACAAGTCCAGTCCTACCATGTGGTCCTGTTGACAGGGGAGCTCTGATTCCGGGTGTACACAGTAACAAGACAAGCACGCCTGTCAAGGAAGTCAATACACGCCAAGATGCTCCAGTGGTTCTACAGCCGGGCAACTACACTGGGGCAGATTCTGATGATGTTTTTGAACTGGAGAATTCGAAGTTTGGGAGCGTAAAACCCAAGGTTGAAAGGACTGTCTCTCAGGACTCCATGGACTCGACTCGGCACAGGACCTTCTCCAACATGTCTGTGGACTCCACCTGTTCAGCCCTATCATCCTCCACCTGCTCCCTGCTGTCCAGGAGCGAGATCAGCCGGCTGATCGAGGAAGCGAACGCTTCGCTGGACGAGCCAACAGACGACGACATCCGTGTGGTGATGATGAGGAGGGAGGAGGGGGAGGGGCTGGGCTTCAGCATCGCAGGAGGCTGTGACCAGGAGAACAAACAGGTCACGGTACGTTTGTTTGTTTGTCTGTTTACTTGTTTTTTGTTGTTAAATTAATCTTAACTGTAAGATAGTGTGCTAAGTTAAAACATCATTTCAACAAAATCTCAGATCCTCCAGGTCTTCTCCCTCAGTCTCCAGTAAAAATGCACCTGGTAATACCATGATAACTGTTCAATTTGTTTCTTCTCTAGTCTAGTTCTTTAAGAACGCATTAAACAAAATACTGCTGTCATCTTTTTAGATCCACCGGATCTTCTCCCATGGTCTTGCTGCGAGGGATGGTGAGCTGCAGAAGGGCGATGTGATCCTGTCCATCAACGGGCGGCAGCTGAAGGATGTGAGTCACAGGAAGGCGCAGGAGCACCTGAAACACGCACGGCCAGACACCGTGCTGGTGGTGCAGAGGAGGAGACAGGAGGACTCACCTGGGGACAGGACAGGTGAGGGGCAAGGAGAGGAGGATTACATCGAGGATATATGAAATAAATATAGAACAGTGCCTAGTATACTGGGCACTGTTATGTAATAATAGTAAAAGTATCTACATGTAGTTCTATGCCTGAATAGGTTAGTTTTAGGATCAGGCACAATTTTGGATAGTCTCAATAAATCCAGGAATGTAGATTAGCCCCAGGCACGATTCTGGAATTTACAAGGTTCTGATTACAACAGAGGACACGAGGTACAGGCTTTTGTAAGGGGCACACCTAAAGAATTTTCAATACATAAATTTCTCTTTATTTTCTTGCAGATTTTTTTGGGGTAGATGTTTGATGTGCAGTCTTAAATTTTCTAGTATTGATTATGTCCTTGCAGCTTTTAGGAAATATGTATTTCTAGACATTATAACAAAAAAGTGTGGTCTATACATGTACTTCCATTATGAATCATGTCTAATAGTAGTTCAATCATGATGATTTCCTTCAGGGGAAGTAAATGGAGAACCAGTCAATGACCAACCCTGCTCACCAAGTACCAAGTTTGCGCCTCGAGCTACAACTAGTCCAGCCAAAACCAGTGCTGCACCAGCCACTGTCCAGCCCAGACCCCCAACCAGTCCTGCACCTGTCAATGAGAAGCCCACAGAGCTGGTGGTGCTGGACAAGGGTCCATTTGGGTTGGGGTTCAGCCTTGAAGGGGGGAGGGGGTCCCCACGGGGAGACCTTCCCATCACCATCAAGAGGATCTTCAGAGGTAAGGACAGAGTGGTAGTGTAGGAGGAGGCTAACAAGTCATTCTGATGGCTCTTCATTAGCCCATGCTTAGCATTTGCTTCTCTTGAAAAGCTGCCTGATTCAGTCTGAATTCTAAGATCACTGGTCACTACCCTAGTACTAGGGATACCTGTTATAGCTCTCCAAAGAAACCATGGAAACATTTTGCCTGTATCTTGATATGGGTAAACTTGCTAATTGGTTTATTTTTGTGGTAACAGCTGTCAATCAAACAGCATGCAATGTTGGATTGTTATCTTACCATTTTTGCTTCAATTTCAATTTCTCAAATTGATTGAAAAGATTGTTTTTAGAGAAAATTGTTGATTTTAGAGCTTTCACTTTCTGTTTCACTTTCTGTTTCTCACAGGGGGCGGAGCAGACAGGTCAGGTGACCTGTTTGTCGGAGACTCGATCATAGCGATCAACGAGATGGACGTGAGCGCTATGTCACACTTCGAGGCCTGGAACATGCTGAAAGCACTGCCTGCTGGGAAGGTTTCCCTCCTCATCAGACATAAATACTGATCTCCTGCTACCATAGCAACAAGAAAACATGGTCTCCTGCTGCCATAGCAACAAGAAAACATGGTCTCCTGCTGCCATGGCAACAAGGAAACATGATCCTCTATTGCCATGGCAATGAGGAAACATCTCCCGCCAACCAGGTGCATTGAACATGCCAATGACAGTTACTACTGAAACAAGCTAGGCAGAACAGCAATGTCATAATTTCATAACGTGCAAAAGTTTGAGGTAAATGTCTCAGCCTGCACTGCTTACAACCTCTTTATATTAGGTTGAAATCAAAACTGAACAATCAGAAATTAGCTACACCATTTTCAGTACAAGTAATTCCCAGTCAACATCACATTCAATGTACAGTTCTAAGGTTTTCAGAAAGTATATGTGCCTAAATTATGTATTTGTTCTGTATATAGAATATGATACAATGTTTAAGTCTTGCTGGAAATAGGAAGAGTTACACAAATTTGTAAATAGAATCCAAAGTACTTATAAACCATTTTAAGCCTTAAAGAAACTATCAGTTAAACTAGATATTAAGAATAAGATGGTACAGTTCTCCCCTGGTTGCAGTGAACCAGTCTAGTGTCACTGCTACGGTAGTGGACTTTAAAGTGTCTATAGTAAGACTCACCTTTGTGTAGAAATGTAAGGAAGAATTACGAATCAGTAGGATAGGTTTTCCAAAGGTGTTCACAGTCAAAACTGTCCAAGAAGACCATTCAATGGACCGACAAGATATGGACAGATGGTCACTTTAGACAGGATTCTTAATGCTTCCATCAATAGGAAGAAAGTAGTGGCCAGGTAGTTGTACAGGTTTGGCTGTACTGTTCTGTTGTTGAACCAAATCTGCTGCAGCTGTATCCATACTGTATGGTCCATCATAATTCAATGTGCAAGAAACGGCATCAGGTAAAATGTACCAGAAACCAGAAGGAAAAGACCTGGTTCATTATGCCGATGGGTGTGTATAGCAACTTGTACATACAACAACAATTGTTTACAACATGTACTTACTAACTTGCATCAGGAAACAAAATGTGTTAGTTACTCACTGTTGGGACAAGAATTTTTATCCTTAAGTCACTGCAGTAGCAACAGGGTTTCTTCAATTCCTGATTCTCTTGTGCAACAGATATGTAATCTCTGTTGTTGTTTTTTTAATTTCATTCTCTTATTTGTTCATTGTGATATGCAAAAACCCACACATGGTCAACCAGATCCAGACTACATCTTATAGATTCAGACTACATCTCCTTTGTAAATGTAGACATCAAAGATTTTTAAAGTCTCTATTTGGTTTGCTCTACAGAATGGCAGGTTAGTTTGTACAGGTAGTTGCATATTTCCCTGCTAAGAGGAATTTATGTACATAGAATTCTATGCCTCAGCTGCTAGATAAGCAATGTTGTGCATGCAAGAATGCAGAAAGCATTCCTTTTTAATTTGCTCGATATTTTTTATTATCATGTCTATTTAAAAGCACAATCTATTGTCACATTTCTTGAAAAGCACAATCATTTAGAGTAATTATCATAAATGTCAGGAATGTTTTACATCGGTAATTTTCAAATTTCAGCTTAGATACTTTTTATTTCAGATTAGCTGTGAAGTGAAATAGGAATATTTTGATTTTCAGAAAGTGTGAATGAAGAAAACATGTAGAAAATGGCCATAATATTTATGAATGATATTTATTTTAGAAATGTGTATCAGGAAATAGAGTTATCATTTAAAAGAGATCGACCTCCTCTTTTATGTGTGTGATTTGTAAGGTAGGCACGTGTTTTTTTTATCCAAGGCACTTGATTCATGAGACCAAGACCAGTGTAATGGCAAGGGATGGGGATCATGCAGCAGCAATGCGTGTCAAACGATGTTGCCGCCCGTCCCAGTTGAGATAGGGTTGGTGCGGCCTGATGCAGATGGCATCCTGTGTTTGGGATCGGGAATATCACCATTCTTAAAAGACATTTGACTCATTCCTGACGTCACATGTGCCTAAAGCCACGTGTCCTGGGTGATTCGGTCAGACAGTTAAACAAAACGGCTGAAAAATTCCATAAGTACATTTTTTAAACAGTTTGGTTAATAGTAGTTCCATAATGTGATGTACCAATTTTGGTCTCCCGATGGCTGATATATTAGAGCATTTTGTACCCACTCAAGTCGATTTTTAAATGAATAGACCCGTGTTAAAAACTAATGAGTCAGACTGACATGACACAACATGGTTTCGTGTATCAGCGCTTATTTATTCAGCAAAGGGAAAACTTAGTTACCAAATGCCGGTATTGACGGCCTTTAAGAACAATTCCTATGTCCGCTTTCCACAAGCCTGTGAGAACACCGAGCCGAGTCTTAGAAACAAAGCCTCCGATGCACAAACTTTACAACATTCCAAATATTAGTTGCCCTTTCAGCCACCGAAGCCTGTGTTTCAGGTTGCTAAGTGGCGGATGCTCCTCCGCGCTGTTTATGTTGAACCGTAGATGAAGAGCAGGGTGCTGGCCAGTCCGGTTCCTCCCACCAGCTCACCGGTACTCAACTGACGTACATAGTTCACAGCTGCGGTCTGGAAAACAATTTCATAACAAGAATTCAGAGATCTCATACACACAATGGCTTATTTTTTTACGATGAATAAATTAACAAATGTTAACTAAAAATTAAAAATATCATTTATTTTATAAGATGTCGTAGTAGATGAAAACTATAAGTCACAATATCCCAAAAGATACGAGTACACAAAAACCACTCAATATCTGCTTACTGTACAATTGTTTTGTTTTATTGCAAATTCATGCCAGAGGGCTAATTACAGGAACAGAAGAAACATTTGGTATAAAATAGACTGATCACTCCTAAGAAACTACTAGTAAAACTAGTGAAACTACTGGGTTTCAAGACGGGAAGACAAAGGATCCCACCTTTTCTGCAATTTGTGGGTTTTCATTTGTATATGTGTGAAAGTTGGGGTAGAATTTGGAGGCTACGTCAAAGAGTTCATTTCGTTCATTGCTATAGAGGGTACAGTTAGAATAAAAATGCGTTTCGTCTTAAACAGTATTCAACGTAATGTTTGCAAATTCGTTCATACACTTCGATCTTCGTAACACGTAATGAAATACTATACAACACCTCGCCTACCAAACAGCTATCGCCTATTCCACACGATTATAGAAATAGGGGTGTTTCTAAAATATGCATTTACTTCAATATGAAAACTGCTAAAGTTTATTTTAATCATCCACGGCGAAAATGGTCCAAAATCCGCTTTGGGCGCAAGGATACTCGGAAGTGAGAATCCAGGCAAAAATCAATCTTCTACCAAAAAAACACGATTTCTATTACTACTTTTCAGCAATTTCAGTATCTAATATCATTTCAAAGAAGATTAGGAGAACTCAACCTTGACTGCTCAAAACCCTTTCGTCATTTTATTTTACCGCGAACTACCACGGACCCCGGTCGCGGAAGAAATTGGGCGTGCTCCTTCCCCACACCCCACTCGTAGACCACCCTGCTCTTCCCCACACTCCACTGGTAGACCTCCCTGCTCTTCCCCACACCCCACTCGTAGACCTCCCTGCTCTTCCCCACACCCCACTCATAGACCACTCTGCTCTTCCCCACACCCCACTCGTAGACCTCCCTGCTCTTCCCCACACCCCACTCGTAGACCTCCCTGCTTTTCCCCACACCCCACTCGTAGACCTCCCTACTTTCTCTCACACCCCACTCGCAGATCTCCCTACTCTTCCCCACACCCCACTCGTAGTACCAAGATCATCCACCAGGAGGCCCATATTTGACCTTGACCTTCGTCTTCCCAAGACGTACCAGCTTACCAAATATTATTACAATCTATAAAGGCGTTATAAAGTAATGCTGACTACAAATCTGCGGAAACACACACACACATGCACACAGAGACGCACCAAAAACAATACCTCCATTTTTCATGGAGGTAATTAGTTTGCTTTTTTTGTATCTATATTTGCAGAAAAGTATAAAACATAAGTGATGACATGTACAAAGCAGTGCAGAAGGAGTGAAATCCTGAGTAGGTTTATCCTAAACCCTCTTCCTAGTAAGTCACCCTCGCTGCCATCTTTAGTGCCAGTAAGAAACATCGAACATTTCTCAATCAGTATTGCAGGGTCATTGCTTGGAAGACCGTGGAGACTATTGAATGCTCACTGAAAGGCCCTGTTGTTGGAGATGTAGGAATTGTGTAAACAATTTTTTGTAGGAATTTTTTCTAAATGTTTTGTTAAAACACTCACTGATCGACTTTGGAGATCATTGAGCGCTCACTAGAAGACCACCGGGAGACCGGGCAAATTTGGGGACTGTTGAATGTACTCACCTCTGCTGCGGCATCCGCCTTTGAGGCGGCTGCATGACAGAACGCTCCCCATCCCTTCTGTACCGGCTGGAGGATGGCGGGGTCGACGTCCCCTGCCCCAGGGGCGCTCCAGGGGTTCACAGCCCAGTTACACACGTTCTGCACCGACCTGCCCCACTCCTACACAGGACACAAAGGTGGGGCATTTTCTATCTACTAGAGACTCAAGAGCATGCGGAGCACAGGCAGGCGGCTGGATATCGATAGAACCGAACGCCATAGTGATGATAATGACAGACTTAAGTTTGTTTCCGTGTTGATACTAGTTTTTTTTTTTATTTATTGAGGCTTACAGGGAAGTTCTTTAAAAATGAAATACATGGATCTAATTTGCTCACTTTGCACAGAACAGCTTCGTAACAGAAATGCCGAGAGGGACTCAAGTCTCAACTGATCTACATGTACATATCTAACGCAGATGTTGGAGACGAGCGGTTGGATGGTGACTTACCTGGGGTCCGTGTAGAGTTTGGATGATGACTTACCTGGTCCGTATAGTGGTTAAATGATGACTTACGTAGTCGATATAGTGGTTAGATGATGACTTACCTGGTCCGTGTGAGGGTTGGATGATGACTTACCTGGTCCATGTAGACGTTGGATGATGACTTACCTGGTCTATGTAGAGGTTGGAGGATGATTTACGTGGTCCGTATGGTGGTTAGATGATGACTTACTTGGTCCGTGTGGAGGTTGAATGGTGACTTACCTGATCCATGTAGAGGTTGGAGACAGAGATGATGGGAATGACTTGGATGCCCACCAAACAGGCGTGGCGCATGGGAAACTCGTATGGCCAGCAGGGCCAGTTAAGGGTGTAGTAGAAAATCGCGTCTTCGGCAAACTGGCCTGCAATGTTTGAGAAATCATTCCTTAAATGCGATATGTGAACAATTTTACTCTGAACATGATCGAGTAATGCAGCCGACCCTAGTGTGAGGTTCTAGGTCCTAATGCACGTAATGTAATTGCGGACCCTAAAACTGGTCCGTTATCAAAAGTATTGCGTGGTTGACAGCCTGAAAGCACATGGATGAGGAAGATTGACAGGCAGAATAACAGGTCAAAGGTCCCAGGTTGCCGATGATTGCGAACTTTCCGGAAGTCTGAAATATTCGATTTTTGTAACTAGTGTAAAGTACCAGTATGTAACAGGTCCTGGCGGTGCACCAGTACGCACCTATAGTTCCGTAGGTCTTGATGTACTCGGGGAAGATGTGGCGGTTGTAGTTCCTGACGTGCCAGTAGTGACGAACCGACCGTATCTCCGTAGCCAGGGTCAGCTGACCCACATGCTTCATGGTGTCATCGCCCAGAGCTTCGCCCAGCGCAGCCAGGCCGTGGTAACAGTTGATGGCCTGGTGCAGAAGTGGTGCGTATTTAGCGCATACTAGAGCTTATATAACCTATCATTATGCTGCAATGCCGGACCGTCTATTGTCTGTATAGCAGATGCCATTGTTGACCTATCATCGTGCAGTGCTAAACAATGTAAATGTTACTTAAGGAAATTGTATAATTCGTTTTCATCGACAGTTAATTGACGAATTGCTATCTCTAGAAGAAAGCCTTTTCCACAACGTGTTTGATGAAGTTCTTGCATTCATTCCTGCGCACCTTTGTAAACGACTATCACTGTGTTAGTGTGAGGTACCACTGTCTCATTATGTTAGTGTTAGTGTCCGTGTTAGTGTTTGATGTAAATGTAGTGTAAGTGTCAGTGCTAGTGTCCGAGTCCACTGTGACCCACCTCCGTGGATGACTCTGCCTGTCTCGCTCCTCCCACGATGCCGGTAGCCCAGGACATGCCCAGGTACCAGTCCTTGTGGCGCACCACCGGGAAGTGCGGGTCCAGCGAGCTGGGGTTCCCCACGTCACGAGCCACCGACACGATACGGGCCATGTTATCTGCGGATCGACAACATTTTGACATTATTACCAAGGTTATGTTTTCGGTAGCGTGTGTGTGTGTGTGTGTGTGTGTGTGTGTGTGTGTGTGTGTGTGTGTGTGTGTGTGTGTGTGCGTGTGTGTGTGTCGGTGTGTGTGTGTGTCGGTGTCTGTACACGTGTTTAAGCATGATAGTTCAATAAGGCTTAGATGGATTGCCGTGATATTTCGTAAGTGGATAGGTCTTGATGAAACCTCGAAATGATTCTGACCCTGATGACTTATTATGGTACTGCAGTGGAACTTTCGGTTTTGAAATCTCATGATCTGCACATGCTATATGGTCACGGATTTTGCACGGTAGGTAGCTCTTGAACTTGACGTTACCGCCCTACATGTGTACAGATTGGACGTTACCTCCATGGTGTGCCCAGTGGTTGTGGTACTTGACATAGTACCCCAGAGCGTACAGGAAGTATCCCAGGTGGAAGTGGTGGTCACTGTACATGGGGAAGCCGAAGTTGGCATGCGGGTCGAAATTGTTGGGGTCGGAACTGCCGATGAAGAGCCCGCCCCACACCGGGTCGTACTCCAGCTTGTTGGCGGCGCTGAGAGAGTCGTCGATCCGCAGCCACTTCTCCAGGCACCTGCCGGGGACACGGGATTCGCGGAGGAAATTTACTGTACTGGTTACAGAAGATCGGACATCGCTAACAGAGGACTGAAATGGATTGGCCATGGGCAGCAACAGAATACCTAAAACAGTAATAAACTGGAAACCTGTTGGGTGAAGGAAAAGAGGCATGCCCAAAAAGCACATTGAGAAGACCTGTGACGGACAACCTATCCTGACTATCCTGTTGGCTATGGACAGGCCCAGACGGAATGGAAAAGTCATATTCCTAGGTCTCGCCGGGGATGAAGACAATATATATTAAGTAAGTACTGTACTAGTATGACTGATGCGGTAGCAATGGAGTAAACAAACAGAAGAAGTAGCTACCCAACAACAACACACACACACACACACAAACCTGCGTATCTTCTCGTCCAGCTGGTGGTAGTGGTGGGTCTCGAAAGCGCGGGAGATGCTGGCCAGCCTGGTTACCATGGCGATGTCCTTCCCCACGCCGTAACTGTTACTCTGCGTGCACACGTTGTCAAGCGACACGCTGCTGCTGTCCGTCTGGATGGCGTCCAGAATCACCTGCCAAGAGACGACACAAACTTCCTTATCATCCTTCGTCAAGAATGTTTTTTTCTTTATTCTTTATTCAAAACAGTGGTCAGCATAGCAGCAATACATAAAAAAATTATGGACCACTGAATTGTGCTGACCTTACATAATACGCGTGTTAGTGTCCGAGTTTTCATATAGTTACTCTACTGTCGTGAGATGGAAGCCCCCTGCATGTTCAATGGGAAATTCTGAAAAATCACATTCACAAAGACCGTTCGAAAGTATCTTAACAGCCCGATGTTATCGTACCTGGAGTTTGGCGGGATCGTTCCTGATCTGGCTCACGGCGACGGGGTCGGGATCCATTCCGGCGGGGGGAAGCGGCTCTTCCATCAGCCACTCGTCCCCCACGTAACCCTTGAAGGTGAAAGGTGTGGAGACTAGTGTGCCGTGTGCGGCAAGTAGCTCCTCCTATTACAAAAAGGGGAGTACAAAAAAGACGAGACTTTTGAGCGTCCAGATATCTGACAGATCTCTCAACGTTTTTTTTCCGTGAGTGCTAGTGATCGATGATCTCAATAATTTCTAATTATAAAAATACATACAGACAATATGCACATAACATGAAATACCTTTCAATGGTATCAATGGCCATTCAGTCTCAATGGCCATTCATCTCTCTTGTAAATTTCCACATTTTTCTCCTTCTCTAATCTTTCTTCTCTTTTTACTCTCCACGCTCGCCATATTCACAGCGACCCCAGAACAAAAAGCCCGTCCCGAGCCGTCTGCCCACCTGATGCGGCACGGCGATCATCAGCAGGTCCTCCCGCGGGTTGCTGCCGAAGAAGTCCCCGCCGCGCTTGTTCCACTGGAAGTTGATGTATCCCATGCTGCCGCTGGCACAGGAGGTGACTACGGGTCGATAGGGGTACACGCCTGCGTACTGGTCCAGCACGCGCGCGCCGGCCAGGTCTCCCCGGGCCGTGCTGCCAGCGTACACCAGCTGAGGGGCAAGGACATACATTCAAAGGCATACTGTAAGATTGAACGAATAACTATAAGGCTTTAGAAACTAAACATCCAGATTTCGCGTATATCGTACGTAGGTGCATTTACGCTCTGCCTACTTGCGTGCTTATTGTTGGTCTATATCTAGATCGGGCCTACCTGCATACTGCCGGTGAATTTCCCGCCTCTGGAGGGCGAGAACTTCGCGCCGTTTGCGTCAACAGATAACGTCATCTCCTCCGAGAAGTACGCCACAAACTTCCGGGTTCTGAAGGGGAGTATATCGAGGTATTTCGTGTATTAACACACAGATGAAACATCCAGGTAAACGATACTCATAGACAATTCAAACTCTGATACCGAGTGCAAAAAATACGGAGATTAGAATCTACTTGCGACGTTTACTTACGATACACGTCGGACGTTCTCTAGGGACGTCGACGAAGAGTGATGAATGTCACTCGAAACATCCGGACTAATTTCCGTAGTTTATCCAGTAGTAAAATTTGTCTACATATTGGCATACACTCTGTTCTTAAAATGGGCATCTTTCACAAATATCTACTAGTAACTGTTAGGCCATGTTGATTTGATTGTATGGATGACATCCTTTCTACAAAATCTATTGGGTCGGCAGTTTTTTTCTCGGGTCGGTTGGCAAACAGGAAACACATTTTTTCTTCTATAGGCCTCAGGAACAGAAGGGAGTACATGTAGTTACGAAGTCCGACCTGTGACTGAGTTTGTTTCCGGGCTCGTCGAGTTCCAGCACGAAAGACTTGCCGCCTGGCAGCTGCGTGCCGGAGCCGCCACACTGGTACTCGTATGGCTGGGTGTCCCAGAACGTGGGCGGGTCCACAAACTTACCCAGCCTGTAACAATGAAAGCAATAACGTAAACATGTAGAGTTCTGAGAACACACGCCTTCGCCAAGTAAAGACGTTTATTATTAAAAGTGTTAAGTGAAAAGTTTATATTATAACATCGGCACCATCTCAGGACGCGCGCACTGCTTTTTTTCTTGAAACTTGTCTACGTAGTTACATACAACCATCCACAGCTTCTCGAGTTGTGTTGTACAAAAACACAAAAAACAATCCTCTGCAGCAACGCAGGAACACGCAGGAACATGACAGGATAACTATTTTTGAACTTTGTTTCCATAACCGCTACTTACCTACCAAATATGATTAAGATCCATTCACAACTACTCGAGTCACGCTGAACACAAACAATAAACAAATGCATAAAAAGTCTGGTACAGCACGCGTCGGGAAAAGCCAGGTGGACCATTTTTGAACTTGACCTTCTTTTCCAAAACAGTTACTCACCAAATATCAATAAGATCCATCCACAATTTCTCGGGTTATGACGTTGACCTACATACAGACCCACACCACAGCTGCTAAACCAAGCCCAAACCGAAAACATAGCATTCTGACAAAGGCAACAACAACGTCAGCTATGCCATTTCAAACATACTCTGGAGAAAAAGAAGAGGAATCAGGTATCTGAATCAGGGGCTTACCTGTGGATGGCGTAGTAAACAACGCCCTCTGGGAAATTGGAGGCGTATTGCAGCGTCTTGCCGTCGGCAGACAGACTGCAGGTGTCGCTGGTGCACGTGACCATGGGATGGGAGCTGTCCCAGGCATCCCTCGTGTTTGCTGCCACCTATCGGCGTGGGATAACACTAAGGTTAATGGGTGTCCCGTGTTTAAAGAGAGCCACGAGTCGAGTACATTTAAGAACCCACCACACTTATCGATCGCTTTAGGAGTCCTTCCCAGGGTGAGTTGTTCAAAGCCATTCCAGTCTAAATGGGCTAAGGAATGTAACCGACCAGTCTTCGTAACCCGAACCCACCCCCTCTTCACATTGAGCTCGCAAGCGCATTGAATCCGGAATCCACCGAAGCAGGATTCATGTGATTCACAGGCCCCATCTGAACGCTCCAAGTCACATTGAAACCGGCTCGATCCCAAACGTACACATTTCGGGAGGTAGTTTCGAACCGGGTTCAACGCATTCCAGTTCTGTCTGAACCCAAAGTGGCTTCACCGGTTTACTTAGCATTTTGACCCGGTCAGGGAGCACGGAGTCATATTTCTTATCTACTACAGTATATGCAGTACCAAGAGCGGTAATGACCGAATCATGGACTTTGTTTTCTATCCCTTTTCTTCGATTTTACCCAATGTAAAACATTTTGTATTTCGGTTCACATGCGGTTACAAAAAATCCCAACCTGAATTTCGTTGATGCCACTCAACGGGTCGCTGAACTGCAGTACCAGGGTGAACCGCTGGAAGCCGCCCCCGATATCCGTGCAGGAGGGCGTGCGGCAGATCGTCTCGGCGCAGGTGGAGAGTTGTCCCGAGGAGACGGGTCCGGGAGGGACCACGGGGGGCGTGGTGGTGGTACCGGTGGTAGGCCTGGTGGTGGTGGTACCCGTGGTAGGCCTGGTGGTACTAGCGATGGTCGTGGTAGTTGGAGAACCTGGGAGGCAGTTTGAGAAAGCATTACAAATTGCTACCTGTTATAGAGAGCCGGTCAAGCCCGAAGGTGCACGTGACCCAGCAAGCGCTGGGAAAGTGGGTGGTATGTGGGGGAATTTATGAAGTGGGGAATTCCTGATTAAAGTTCGTCATATAACCACCTGCATAATTACATTCACGAAAACCTCAAACAATTCTCGGAGGTCCGTAAACTTCGGGTTCCTGTTTAACTCCATTTTAGCTGTGTTTTCCGTTGCACGACGCTCAGCAATGGCTGATTTTACCTGCAATTTACCTGCAATGGACCTAGGCTCACACATTTGTAACCACGGCTTTATATTTTTACACTATGACATCCGTTACGGCGCTATCATCGCAGAGAAGACCCCCATCGCAGGTAAACGGTACGTCATTTGTGACCGCGCCACAAAATGGGACTTCACCTGAGCCGTCGCATGTGAAGTAATGCGGGTTGTCGATCCAAAATCCCGCGGGGGAGACGAAGGAGCCGATCCTGTTGACGGCGTAGGCCAGCTGTCCCTCCGGCACCGTGGCGGTGTAGGTCACGGTCATCCTGTCAGGCGACAGCGTACAGCGGGTCGGGTTACACGTCAGCATCACGTGAGTTTGTGACCACCTGTCCGCTGAGTCTACAGCGACCTGGGAACACATCGTTCACACTCACTTTAATGGGACACTGTTTACACTAACCATATATAATGGGATGGGATAAAATTGTAACGTTCACACTTAGCTCTGCGTGGGATACACTGCCTTCAACTTAGCATTAAGGATCATTGAGCGGTGCTTGCCAGTATGTACCTGAATCTCCTCCATGTATGGGACCTCATTGCGGAAGTCCATGGTAAGCTGGAACTGCTGCTGACCGCCGCCTAGCGGCTGACAGGAGGGGTACAGGCAGATCTGTTCAGCACAGGGCGCCCGAGGAGCAGGCTGCAGCCTGTTCTCCGCTGTGGGAAGACACGAAACAAAGGGTCTTAACCAGTAGTTTAAACCTTCATCATGATCGTAGACGGGGGACGTTACAGGCTTTTTTGCCTCCTTTGACACTTTACTTAGGTGGTCGCCAACAATTTTGGATTGTACAATTCTGTATGCGATATGTCTAATAAAGAGGAGGACCATACCTGAGAATGAACGGCGTGGCACTAACTGAAACGTTAGGAACAAATTTGAATTAAATGGCCATTCTTGGGATAGCCGTGCATGTGTCGTAGAGATCTAGAAGTCAGCAGTCGTGTTTCGGAGAAAGCTGTCTGAGATTCTTGTCGGCGGTTGGTTCTGTCTAGCCTGGGTACCATCCTACTTGTATGCCGGGGCTCCCACACTCGCTTCCCTAACAAGTACTTGCAACCAGGCTAGGTTCTGTCACAGTTTGCTTGAAAATGCTTCGGCATAATAATCGCACGGCGACCTACGATGCGCGATGAGTGTGACCGCGTGCCCTAAGGTGTAGATATTAAAGAGGAGAATCTGAAGATGTGACTACCTTCCCTCTTTCTGGAGCAGGTGACGGTTAGCGGGTTGGCGGTCCAGTCGCCCCACGGCACCACAAACTTCCCGACCACGTTGAAGGCGTACGCCATGGTGCCACCCACGTTCGAAATGGTCGGCTCGACGCGAATGGTGCGCCCTTCGTCCTCCATGAGGCAGGTGGCGGCATCGCAGCTGTGCATGTGGCCGGAAAAGGCACCGGCGGGTCCTGCTGCCCATTGTACCTTTAGCGTGGCGTAAATGTTGTCACACTTTGAAAATCGTAAAATGGTTGCTAGCTGCCCGTTTTTCTGACGGCAGCTAGAACCCCCCACCCAAACCACATTATGACCCCAAGGGCACACCAAGTCCACCAAGCACCATCACTTCAATAGAACTCAAATGCCCAGGTCCCAGTGCGGACTCGACACAAACACACAAACTATCAATTAACGTGACCGGAAACAATACTTCCGTTCCGCATGTTATGAATGAACCAGGAATGTTTTGCTTTCCATTTCCAGCATGCTCGAGTTGTAGAGGAACGAGACCTCAACCCGGAAAGAGAAGCTCGGCTTACCTGGCTCATATCGTCCACAGCTTTGGTCACGTGCAGGGTCAGCTGCAGCTGTCCGTCGCTGCACGTGGCCTCCCCGAAACCCGACCCGCCGTCAGCAGCTGCCAGGGGAGAGATGTGACCGATAACTACTAGTGAGTAACGCTACTTTTCATCCTTGCTATCCCCATGGGATGGGAGGTACTGTTTTTGGCCTGGATGATGTTTGGGTGTGCATCTCAGCTCAAGATCTGTCGGAAGGATTACGATGTATAGATGGGGTAAAGTGGATTGTGGAGGTCGATTTTGGGCACCTGGAGATTGACTTTGGTACTGCAGTAGGAATTTTCTAAAATATCTTTGGCGCCGGACGATCGGTAGACGTGATGGTTAGGTGACATATACAAGTAGTTGTTGATACAAGGGTTTAGTGGTGTACATTTGGACCCCTAGCTGTGTGCTGTGGCCCACCAGGGTTGTTCGATTTTCGTTTGCATTTCCGAAGAAGAACTAACTTTGTAAAGTATTGAAACTAGAAGAGGGTGAAGAAATCAGATGAATGACGATGTCTTACCGGATATTTCAGTTGGACAGCGGAAGTTGGTGGCAACCCCGTCCACTGCACTGAGACAGTACGGCGCCAGCACGGGGTCGGCTGCAGTGAAGATATGCGTCAGAAAGGGGGCACCCCTGACCAAAGGCACCTCCATGGAGCCCTCTCCATTTGAGAAAAGGAAGTTGGCGTGGAGATGCCCGAAACTCGTCATGACGGCCTCGCCACTTCCTTCTATCCCCACACGAACTCCGGAGTTACCTGGAAAACAGGTGGAAATCATAGTCATATAATGGAAATACAAACAAAAAGTAATAGATCTGAGACTTCCTGGAAGTACGCAATCCTCGATTTCCTGATGAATTCCTTGAAATTGTTGGATAAATCCTGGTGGACCATTGATGAAACTATTCACTTCAAATGTGGTGTCCTATTTGACTGTAAACTTCACCAAAATGCACTGCTTTTCTGCAAACACTTTAGATTCATGATATGATACTGCTTGTGCATCAGAAAAGCCAAATGCATCAAAAGCACCCATGAGAAAGTGAAGAAAATGATGTTTGATAATGTTTCATCAACAAATATAATTTTCTTCACTTGGTTTGGCTGTTCAGCACGCACAGCCAGGGCTGCCCAAAGTGCTAGCCCTGCTGACAAAGACAAGACATTACAATTACAGCACAGACTATATCATTATTCTGGGCACATAATGCATTGTGTAAAAAGTAGCGTATATGATAGGGAGGTCAGGGTCAGTGCGAACACTTGACAGAGACTTCCAGAGCTTTCTTATAAAGGAGGCAGTCGGCGTAGCAGTGCGAGCGTCAGTGGAGAGGGTGCTCCAGACTGACGTTGCTCGGTTACGTAGGAAATGTAGTAGGGGTATTTCCCCGCCTACCTGTGAAGCTAGCCTTTGGCGCGCCGTCGGGCCCGGAGAC